GCTGTAAATGATGACAACACACTATATATTTGATACTTTTTACAATAATGTGTTAACTTTGCATTAAATATCCCATCAATTAATTGTGCTGTACTTTGCATCAACATTCAGCAGTAATGTTAACAACATCATTTTCAATGTAATCATTTACAAAATAAATTTATACTTTTTCAAACTATTTGAGAAAATTTTGCATGACACATAATAATTTTCTACCTTTATTTCTTTTTCTAATTTTTCCAGATCTCCTTCTGGTTGACCTTTCTCAGTGCTATCACTATCTTTCTCTTCAGTATTAGAGTAGAACACACTGGCACCAACTATGGAACCACCATCTCTAGTTTTTCCTCCGCCAAGATTGACCCCAGCAGCACACCATATCTAAAAAGATGAGCATAATAATGATGAAAAGTTCACCCACATGTAACATCAGTCAGTGATGAAGCTTTGTAGACAGTATACAAATCTGTCAAAAAATGTGACATCATCAGAAAATTATGTTGTATTATTTCCCAAAATATTATAATTCAAGATCAATTGTAATAATTCTGATGCAATTAGAAATTTAAAATAATTCAACTGCTTCTGGTGTGCTTAAACCATACACATACAATTATAACATTAGTTCAAGAAATTATCCAATTCATGCATCAGGCCAATACATTGTGAACTCAAAATTGACCTTTCAACAACATATGACACTTCCTCTTACTGAAGTCCTTTTAACTTTATGATTCTTCCATCTGCATTTATTAAGAAAATATTAGGAACGATGCAATGACTTATGTTTATGTCATGGCTAAAATGATAGAAATTCACATTCTAAAATCAGTATTGATACAATGTGTTGTGATGCCAGGTATGATTATCAGAAATGTATTCACAGAAAATGGTAAATGTAGTTTGACACACAAACATTTTTTACAACAGGTTTTATTTTTCTCTTGAAATAAATGATTTCCCATGCCATGTTATATATACTGTTAGATTGTGAACTAAAAGAATAAAATTTGGAATATCACAAATTTAAGAGATACATTTAATAACAAGCCATGCATGACACAGTCCCTGTTAGTTATCGAATTTAAGATATATAGTTTTGTTTATAGTAATATAGCTGGAAAATAAACAAGTCAAGAATATGGTTATGATGATTGTTTAACATTATTTAAACATTATTTATTTAGATTGACATTTGTATCTGATCATCAAATGAGTATTGAGAGATATTGCGTCCGAACGGGGACTACTGTATAATACCTTATATAAGCGCCAACCTGGATTAGGCGCCAGTACAATAGAAAAGGTGATAATTTTCACACCAATTAGGCGCCAGTCAAAGTTGAATGTTTGGGTAAAAACGTTAAATCGGCGCCAGTGAATTCCCAATCTGGCCGACGTCCGCCTAACATTTGAGATAATCTTTTTGTAAATGACTGAACAGTGTTTACTCTAGGACGCGCAATTGTGTGATTCCCCGCCCCGTTAAAGTCCAAATATAAATCACGGTTTATATTACAATGTATCAATTTAAAAATTGTGATCAAAAGCTCAAGTTCGGAGTGCGGTTTCTATTACATACATATTGCAATCACTAAATGGCCTAGTCATTTTCTTTCCCACAACACATGCACAAAACAAACAATACATCGTACAATCTCTTGAATAGGCCTCATGGAAGAGTGAAGGCCTTACTTTGGTTCTAAAGTAGGAGTTACGAAATGTTGAAAAATTACATTCAATCAAAAAAAAACATGCCACATGATAAAAGTGTTGAAGTGTTGAAATTGGTAATTATTATTCAGTAGTGATTATAGTAACACACGAAAAATAAATCTGTTGAAATGTTATGAAATGCAAGTAAAATTCAACTTAGTTTTAAAGTAAGCGAATGATTTCAGTCACATGTAAACAGTCGATACGATACGATATCCGCCATGTTTTTAAATGCACACGAGACATGTTTATTGACCGGATAGGTCAAGTCGCTAATTAACCAATCAAAATGCTGGATGGTGCCCACGTGTCTGAATTACCACAGATTTAAATATGTTAATGACAGTTCAGTGACCTCATGGTAAACGCAACACGGAAGAGATTTACCAATAATGTAGTGTGATCTTTTGGCTTTGATTTCCATGGGAAAACGGCATGATTTTTTTTTTTTTAAATCAAGAAATTATTTGTTTTGGAAAGATAAACTGAACATTTGAAGAAAAATTTAACAATGTTTACAGTGATAACAGCTCATTGTCGAAACAAAGTTTACCCATTCATGTTCTTCACTATAAAAATCATACTCTTGAATAGGCGTCCAGAATGATATAAATGTCCGAAAAATGTAGCCAAAATATTTTAAAAAAAACACGCCATTTCTTGGTCTCATTTTATTTTAAAAAGCAAACTGCCGTTTAACGACCAAGGGCGAATTTACGACAGAATCACGTACATTGTATAGACAGGATTCCTCTGATTGTAAGGTAACGTTACTGTAGTTCTGAGTGTGTGAAAAAATGACTGACCTCAATTAAGCGCCATTTGCAACAAAGTTGCCAAAATGTGACCTCAAATTAGTGCCAGACAGAAATGAATATGTATCAAAGTGGCGCCTATATGAGGTATTATACGGTAATTAGCTTTTGAAAAATTAATTGGTCTGGCAAAAATAAATATCTAGATCTTACCTTCATACCAGGTTCCTGTTCTAACAATGGCCGACAGTAAACTGGAACAGGAACTCCTACCATACTCTTGCCACCATCAGTCTGTGTGATGGGTTTACTACTACTAGGAGGCACTTTAGCAGGCAAGCTCCAACCGTATGCCTGAACACGGCCATCATCTTTTTTCACATGTGCTTTGACTTTACGATATTGTTCACGTTTCTCTTTTATTCTCTGTGCACTATCAGTTCTATCAAAAAAAATAATCCCGTTAACCTTCGTGATTACATGATACCATGTGGCTGTATTTTCATGGTCATGTACCATACACACATCAGGAAAAAGCTATATGGCCTTCTACACACAGGTTCCCATGAAAGTCATAACCACATATCCAAAATATTTATACGCGTTCACAAGGAGCAATGACCTGCTTTATATTCTGTTGATCAATCTAATCATAAGCAAGTGTTGGCAATTAAATGTACTCACCCGTCAGCCTCTAGGAAATCAAACACCTTGGATCTATCACTGCCAAATGCTTGAGTGGTACGTTTCTTAGGTGCCGGTGACACCTGTGATGTGGGAGCGTTGAATTTCACATTTACTGGTGGGTAAGGTTTTTTACTCGGTGCATTGGATGAACTGAATAAATTACTGAAACTGAAAATGTGATAAATACATTTGAAAGTAGTATCTTGATTGTATAAATTAGAGCCATACAAACATTTCCACTGAAATAAAATTTTATGCATTCAGAGTTTGCTTTATTTGGAAATAGTCCTGGCATGATGAAAATTTAAATATACAAAATATACTAAAATTAGGATCGTAGTCCAGATAATTTAACTGTTTATATAGTGAAGGGGTAACAAAAAAACACAAACAAAACAAAACAATACACGCTTCAAATTGTACTTACAATTTCCAAATGGTTGATTTATTTTTTTTGGTTTCCAGTGATGGATGTTCTCTGGAAGCTCGTATCATCTCAGTCCACCTTACAGCTTCCTGTAACTCCATAAGTCGCTCTTTATACTGATTTCTCTCCATCAAAACTCTGGCCATCTCAACACGTGTAAACCGCTTTCTTTGCGCCATGGGAACATCCTCATCCTCCTCCACCATCTTAATCTTCTCATTCTCTTCCTTAGCTCTAAGGATAATTATTGCAAAAATGTAAACACATTTCTACTATAGGTATCAGCAGAAGATGACATTCTACAGTTTCCTAGCACTACATAATTTTATACGAGACAGTATCACTGCAAGCAGAGATCAAGACTGAGTAGGATTCAAAAAGATTGGAAGCAATTAATTCACATAGAGGCTGACGCATAAATAAACAAGTAAACGAAGTAATTGCATTACACATCCCCAAATTATCAAATGTAAGTCACTGTATGATAATTTTTTTCGATTTTTACTGGAATATCTTAAATGGAACAATTTTAAAGCATTCAGTTAATGTGAAACATATAAATGCTTCAAATAATTGTAGAGATTGTTCATAAAGAATGACAAGAACTGGGTAATAAAATAACATGTACCAGCAAATGACAATATGTGATGTCTGTCAGAGCACTGCTGAGATATCTGAACAGGAACAACAGGACATGGGTCAATCTATAAATCCTCATTTCAAGCTACACATGAATATAAACTAATAACATAAACATATCGCAGAAAATACTCCCATTTAGGTAGAGAAAGGTGATATCACTGACTTTTTGATTTCATCTTCAAGTTCTGTAATTCTAAGATTCAATCTTCCTTTTACAGTCTGTAACTGTTGGATCTCCTCTTTCATCATGTCCATTTCACCAGAAAGTTCATCAACCCTTGCTATCAAGTCATCTTTTACAATGTTCAATGCATGTCTGAAATACAAAAAATAGTTTTAATTGTAAGGCTGCAATATTTCCCATGTTCCACACAGAGGGCAGTATATTTGAAGTTTACCCATAATAGTTTGCAAGAAGCAATACATCAGTTCAGTGCACTTGTTTATTTTAACACAAAAACACAATGATCTAACCTGAACTGGCATTTAAATTATTAGTTATTGGGAGGATCAGAAAATAGAGTAACTACGTATCAATTATGTCTAATTGTACAAATTTGAATAAAGTATCATAGACAATAAATGTATGACGGCTAATTACCATTACAACTTACTTAGTGGCTCTCAGCTCTGAATTTTCTAAAATAAGGTTTTCAACTTCTTTTCCCATTCCTGTGCAAAAATAATAACAAAGCCATGCAAATTATATAAACATAGAATGTGTGATATGTTAGCATGCACACCCATTGTCCACAAATACAAACCCAATATTACAAGGTACAAGCTTTAAAGAACAAGATGTACAAAGTTATGCCACAAAGAAGAGGTATTTGCAAAACTTTATTATGCTTGCAGGCAACAACCAATCTTTTCTTTGCTTACTTTGGTCTGCCATCACCACATTGATACAAAGTCTGCAAACTACCAATATATGTAATCAAACACATAATGCACAAGAAATTCTGAAATTTGTAATCCTTGTCTAAAAAACTTCAATTTTGAAATTATTGATCTTTTAATGCAATGACTCCAGTCAACCATATTGATGGCAATGCAAAGCACACCCACTGATGAAAACATACACACTGATTAACAAAACACATTGCTACAAGCACTATACAGTATCAATACATATACTCATCAATAGGACATATTGTCACAGTAACACCACACACTGATTCAGATATGAAGCTTACCAAAGAAGTTATCACTAGTTGGTGTGACTATGGTTGCCATGGAAACACGAGAGCAAGAAAAGTTAAAGACGATGGTAAAATTAGTTAATAAGAATGAAATAGTGCAGCAATATTTAAAAAGACTTAAGTCATTATCTGCTCCATGTTTACCCAAAATGTAGTCATTGGGACAAGGTTAGGAATCACTATCTGCTTCGAGAGTTGACTAACAGATCAAGGGACTTGATGAGCAGTGATAACAATGTCAGGGGTATGCACAAAGCTGTAGAAAGCTGAATGATATCATTGCTCAGGAAATATATTATGCTAGTGCAACCACTTACAAGTGGTTGACTGAAAGTTCTACTGTTTCTACTGCTCTACTCTGAATGTTACTAAAATGAGTGTTGCGATATCAAAGATCAATTCCTTTTTAATTTCCTGTCAGTTTCCTTGCCAATGGTATAATAAGAGGATCCAAACAAGTGAATAGATTTTGAGATGAAGGTCAATCTGCAAAGAAAACAGCCATCTTGTATGGAATGATCAATATTTTTGTAATATTTCATCATGATCTACATGTCAATACATTTCATCAAATAAGAAACATCGAATACTAATTACCAATGTTCTGCTTCTCTTTTACAATTTAAGAATTTCATGGAAATTAAGAAATCTTTGATAAAACAAAACCCAAACCCATCAAATGTTCAATAAGTATGATATAGAATGCATTGTGAATTGTTCAATACCTTATTACCACATAATTATTCATACAATGTAGTATGTGTACAATTTAACACTACATCCCATCTAGATACCACTAATACTATATGCCTGCTACAGTGACATTTGCTATATTTTCTGATTTATTCTACAGTTTGCAGATTAGGATATTTATTCCAATGTTGAAATTATTGAGAAGACAAGATTAATCAAGTACAATAGCAGATAGAGTGTGCTGAGTTGAATACTATAGCAAAAATTTAAAAACCAAGGCTACCACTATCTTCTGTATAATGATAAACATGGCAACTCAAATTTAAACCAGGAACCAAAGCAACACAAAAAAGTCACCTACAGCTGAAATAAATGTGCGTGACAAGATAATGCCATGAGTGAAAAAAAAAAAACTAAAAACAAACATCCATACCAAACAGACTAGGAATTATATCATCAGACTCAGAATCTAGTAACAGTGCATGATGGGTAAATGAAACAAGAATAAGGTAAATTGCATTGTTAATAAAATATGAAGAAAATCAGACATGCAGTTACAATACGAAATATTATAATGATGTGCAATTCAAATCTGGGTGGATATCTAACCCATTTGTCACAAATATATCTAAATGTTTGGTGAAAAAAATGTCATGGTGATTGTTAAACTGAAATAAATTAAGTACAACTATGAAATGTGATGCTTTATTAGAAAGACAGCAATATGTATCATTATGATATCAAAGTAATATTACTAACCAGAATATTCAGCTGGGTCTGTGTTATGGCAGAAAGCAGGATATAATTATAGAGTTAGAATAAGTTGCATTAGTTGAAAATAATGAGTTACAGAAATGTAAACATGCACGCATACATCATAAAATATTCAAGTTCAGGAGGTATGTAAATGTGTTGAAACGGACATAGTGCGAGTGGTTAGTGCTAGTAGCACTAATCCGAAAAACTACTAGATCTAGTGCTAAAATGGCATTAGATCTAGTGCTAAAATGTACATAGTGCGAGTGGCATTGATATCGCGTTGTCAACGACGTCAAGGCATCCCGTAATTCTCTGAAAATAAATTAATATTTACGTAAAATTGTTGTATCTTTCATTCATTGGAAATGTGCTACAGTGGGAAAATTGAGAATGTCATTGCCC